TCTCAGAATTTATGGTCAAGAAACTGAATTATCCAATTGACAAATTCTGCTGTACCGTAGATGCAGTCATCTGCGACTGCTGCCCAGAGGTAGACGCACTTCCATGCGATAAATACATCAAAAGAAGCACAGAAGTCATCAACAAGCTGAAGGGAATCAAGCAGAGAATGTTTCTATTCACAAATGGTACAAAATGCAGGGCAATGAAAATACTGAATTTGATTGGACTCGAAGACGTGTTCGAGAAGGTGTTCTGTGCTGATAATGCTGAATGTGACTACATAATGAAGCCAAATCCAATCAGCTACTCATTTGTTGAAGACTATCTACAGATTGTTGATGCACGTAAAATCCACTTCTTTGACGATAGAAGGAAGAACGTGGTTGGTGCCAAGAATGCAGGATGGAATGGCTATCAGGTGAATGAGAACCTGATTGAGCAGATCGACAAGGCATTGCAGCAGATCGAGGTTGAATCTGAGAAAAGTGGTCTTCTACAGAAATCGACTCAAAACGTTGTTACAAGTTGTGACACAAAAAGAGAGGAGAACGAGTTGGAATGAACATGGTGAACATTGGCGTCTTCCTTGGATCTGCATTTGGAATTATTTCAGATGAGAAGTCATTTGATGAAAGAGTTCAGTCTGNAAATCCACTTCTTTGACGATAGAAGGAAGAACGTGGTTGGTGCCAAGAATGCAGGATGGAATGGCTATCAGGTGAATGAGAACCTGATTGAGCAGATCGACAAGGCATTGCAGCAGATCGAGGTTGAATCTGAGAAAAGTGGTCTTCTACAGAAATCGACTCAAAACGTTGTTACAAGTTGTGACACAAAAAGAGAGGAGAACGAGTTGGAATGAACATGGTGAACATTGGCGTCTTCCTTGGATCTGCATTTGGAATTATTTCAGATGAGAAGTCATTTGATGAAAGAGTTCAGTCTGGGCTATTCAGCCTGGTTTACTACAATAAGTGTGGCCACAAGTGTAAGGAGTTGCAGAATGCAATTGGATATATCTCACAGAGTTACTACCTGGTGGACATATCAAAGGACATAGAGGCAGCAGGAAAGATGAATTCATATGGAATAATGGACGCAGAAGAATATCCTATGATCTTCTACAACGGAAAGTTCTTTCCAGATCCATACGAGTCGAAGGAGTTGGATCAGATTCTTCTTCTTGAGCCTAATCACTAGACAATTAATTAGATAAATGATAATGGTAAGGTCTTTTCTAAATTACACAAACAAACCCATATGAGACTATTGTGGATTCTATTAGAAATGACGAATTGTGCTATAAGAATGCTGAGGAATGGTGGAATTGAATACAGGTGTGTTAAATTGGACTGCAACAGGTCTGCAGTCCAGTCTGTGAAACAGATGAAGCCACACCTGGAGACTATAGACAAAATATTCAAGGGTAATGTCCTGTTCAACTATTCCACCTACAATAACACTCACATCTTCATGCTCCTGAATGGCACTGAATTAGTCGCATACCTGGAGCTAAAGCCAACAATTCTCGTAGAAAGAGGATGGAGAGGCAAAAGAACCTACAAAAACTTCACATTTTACATGGTGTGTGTTCCAGAAAAATACAGGCGAAAGGGCTTCTGTAAAATTCTAATGGATTTTGCTGTAAAAAGCACAATCAGCGAGAATGGAACCAAGGACGTCTTCTTTTCGATGCACCTGAATTCTGAGGATCTATCGGCGCCTGTTTCTGCTAAAACGTACTACCAGCTTGGATTCAGAAGAGCAATGTGGGCCAGATACTCATTTGAAGAATACATCCACTCCTTTGAGAACTTCAGGAAGAATAGTGTCGATCTCTATGAACTTATGAAGGATGAAACAAAGGGAAGTGGAACAGGAGGAATGGTTGCTCTCTGTTGCGAGGCCAAGGACTACGCCTCTAAAAAGTGGCCAGTTCCAGAGAACTTCTACGAACTGGGAAGAAGCCTGATGACACGAATGGATGCTCGAAGACGCACCTACGACTCAACATTCTCAGGTTAAATGGTTTATTCTTTCATGAATCGTATCCAGTGAAGTTGGCCTTAAACAGCTGGTTCACCTCTTCTGAGAGTGTCTCAGTTCTCTTTCTGAAGTGCTTCTCTGCCTCGTTGTATCCGCCTATGAACTCGCCATCCTCGAATACCATCGGATACGTGTAGAATTTCTTGCTTGTTATTGCCTTGATATCTGCTTTCAGAGTGTCCTCGTTCAAGTCGAGGCATTTCAGCTTCCTGTCCTTGCACATCTCACGCATTGCCTCTGAATATCCACATCCATCTCTCGTGATTATTATCACCTCATTTGACCTGTCTCTGGCTGGTACACTGAGTCCACATACACCAATAAGGTATTTAAATAGCATATTATTTGTATTCACTGAAATTTATATTCTGCTACAGTTTATAATCTGTTACAGGCAATAAACAATAATGGTAAAGGAATTAGATAATAATTATAGGTAGATAATAAGAATGTTACTGGCTACTATTTGCAGCCTATGAGTTGTTTACGTTATAAATCGTGCGTCTTCTTCTCCGTTTCATCGATGCGAGTGTGTGGACAGCCATATTTTCTAATTCCTTCCTGTGTAATATCCTCAGGTTGTGGCTTCGAATTTCTACTGAAATTGGCTTGATTTTGGTGTTGAATTTGTAGTAGAGTCCACACGCATTACAGACGTATCTACCACGAGTATCCCTACGCCACAGGGGTGTACGAATGCAATAGCAGTTTGTACAGAATCTCATACGATGTTTTCCCATTAAGGACAAACTTTTCACAGTTCCATTCTTATTGATCACTGATTTGCAGCTGATACAGAGAATGGAACAACCACAATCACGTGAATATCGTGCTCATTCACCCTCCTATTTTGACACCTTTGATACACCTGTTACACTTACTGATCCATCCTATTGACCAATATTATTCATACTTTATAATGTATCAATATTTATATCATGTCATTCTACTCCTATACATAGTTTATATTCCTATACACCTCAAATCCATGTGTTTCGGTCAGCTTACTCACAGAATGCCTACATATTGGACACCGTAATGACGTCATCAACCAGCTGTCAATGCATCCAGTGTGAAAAAGGTGCTTACAAGGCAACTCTCGTACTGAATCTCCGTTCTCATACTGCTCCAAACATATCGTACACTCCCTGTTCTCTCCAGTCCCATCAAACTTCCTTTCTGGCAACTTTTCTATTTCGTCCTTTATTGCATCAATACTCAATTCTGAATCAAATGTCAGCACAACCAGGAAGACCACAATGGCCGTGATGATGAGCGGAGCATGGAAGAACACCTGTATTGAGAGTGGAATATACTCGAATTCAGTGTACGTGTACGATATTCGTCCCCTATATTTCAGTAGATTCAATAATTTCAGCAAGTAGAAGTTGAACTGGGAGACCGTAAAAAAGTTGCTTGCTTCTGGAACCAAATTCTGCCTTGCTTTTCTGCCTGACTTCATTTCTACCTCATTTCGCCTAAAACTGCTCCTGTAGAATGTTCCATCGTAGTTGTATCCAGGTCTCTTGATGATGAAGACACTCTCCAACTTCCTAGCAGTCGATGTTCTCTTTTCAATACGCCCTGAATCAGCCAGATACTCAACTGAACTCACTGCTGGAACTCCACTTAGACCAATGTATGGATGTAACCTCAGGTACTCGACCATTCTGACTTCCTGGTAGTAGTTATCCATGCTTGGATCATCAGATGCATCTGACTCGTAGGCGTGATCGTCGCTGCTGATTTCATCAGGCCGAGCCATCTCGTAGGAGAACTCGTGTGGATGGAGAGGTATTTTGATCTGGAGACGTAGTATACGGTAGACTAGAGCCACACTACTATTCATGGTTGGTTGTTTTTGGTCTTGTTTTATGAGTGTATCAGAAAATAAACAATACTGTGATGTACATGGTATAGTAGTTAGACTGGTACGTTGTTACAGTAGGTAGTTAGACTGGTA